TCTGGATGGTTTCCACCCAAAGCCACGTTAGTTGATCAAAATTCGACATTTGATCATAATTTGACCATTTAAAAAAAGGCAAAATAGTAATTTGACCTTTAATTAATTAAAAAGGAAATTTATATGGGGTCCCAATCCTTTTAAAAATGTACAGTAGAGATCCCAAACCTTTAATAAATATGCACTAGAAATACGTCTAATGATTTTCATCTAAAAATATGTTAGTTGACAAAAAATATTCATCTTTCCCAATCCACGTTACCACTCAACACCAACACCTAAACCCTAAGCTACCTAACTCCACCCATGGTAGATGGGCGAGCCTTCAACTTCACCTCTATTGTTGGCATTTAAGAGAACTTTCTATCTTTATTTATTTCGTTTCAATTCTGTAAAGGTTCTTGTTAGATGGAAATGGAGATAATTGGGATGGGAGAAAGGGGATCGAAGGAAGTAGATGAGAAAACTAGTGCTACTGTGAGATTGAGGGTAGCCAAAAATATTTATCCAACCTCAACATTGGCTGCCCACTTTAAATTATCATGCAGCTTGTGCCCTGAGTCAGATGAAGACATTGATTATATGTTTCAAGTTTCTTATTTCAGTGCAATTGGTTCGCTTATGTATCTTATAATTTGTACAAGATCAGATTTGACATATGCAGTTACTGTAGTTAGTGGGTACATAGCAAATCCTATTAAGGAGCATTGGATAACAATATAGTGGATATTCAGTTATTTGAGGGGCTCTTCTAAAGTTTGCTTACATTTTGGTAGAAATACAGATGGAGTCATTAGGTATACGGATTGGGATTATGCTAGGGATTTTGACAAAATGATATCAGTTACACGATATCTGTTTACCGTTAGAGCCTATGCTATCAATTGAAAAGCCACTTCACTAAATATAGTAGTTTTATCTACAATAGAGGCAGAGTACATGGCCATCACAGAGACATGCAAAGAGGTTATGTGGTTGAGAATATTGATTAGTGAAATCAGTGAAGACTTGTAGATTTTTACAATGTATTGTGATCATCATAGCGCTATCTTTTTTACTAGGGATCAGATGTTTCATGGAAAGACTAAACACGTTGATGTGAGGTATCATTTTGTACGTGATGTAATTGCTCGTATTGATATTGTAGTGAGCAAGGTTGATACTAATGATGATTCTGCTGATATGATGACAAAATTGTTGAACTTAATTGATTTTTGTCATTGATTTAGTCAATTGGAGCTTGTTTGGAAGAGGTGAAGTGGTGTTTACTTGAATATATATAATGTGCCCAAATTCTATTGGGAAATTGAAGTTTTAGTTGAATTGGCCTTGAATGGATCGAAATTATATTGAGATTGGAGTTTCGATTGAAAAATTGGAGTTTGGATAAGTCATTGGATGAATCTACGATTCGTAGCCATATTTTTGCATGCCTGTTGCTAGGTGGCAGCTTGAGCTCCATCATCGTATTTTCTCTCGAGACTTGGGGCTAGCCTGGCATCTGAGCGATACACTTATCCCGCCCAAGCTCGTATTGCGTTTTAACGCATTTTTAGAACTCGAATTCATCTACAACTTGGATTTTAGAGCGTATATATTCCCCGCAACCTGTATTGAGGTCATAATATTAATATAATATCTTGAGAACTTTAGATATTAATTGAAAGTATTGAGATCTTGTTGTAAACACATTCATTATTGGTTACAGTGAAATTCTCCTTCTTTACCTGCGGTTTTTTTTCATCTTGGATTTTCACATAAATCTTGATGTCATTCTTTTGTTCTTACTTTATTTCATTATTTCACTATGTTTGACACCCATTTTAT